GGTTTCCCAGAATCAGCCCGAAGCAAGTTTAAAATGGCTGAGGTACTTTCCCAAAATGGCTGGCGGCCCGGGCGTAGCCCAACACAGGATGCCATTTATTTCTTTCTCTTGCATGATGGCTCTGGCTAGTACTTCTAATACTATGTTAAATTGGAGTGGGCATCCTTGTCTTGCTTCTATTGTTAAGGATGATATTGGTTGGTGGGTTTCTTGTATATGACTTTTATTTTGTTGATATGCTTTCCTTCTATACCTAATTTCATGAGATTCTTTTTCATGAAAGGATGTTGAATATTGTCAAATTCTTTTCCTGTGTCCCTTGAGATAATCATATGGCTTTTGTCCTTCATTTTGTTCATGTGGTGTGTCATATTTCTTAACTTGTATATGTTGAACCATCCTTGGATAGATGTATACTATGAAATCTCGTTGTTTCAGTTCACCTTCTTCCAGTCTTACAAATTCATGGGGTGGAAATAAGTCAGAGTGAAACTTTGCTTAATTTCTGTGGTGATATGAGTAAGCTTTGGGGGTTAGTGAAAATATATACTTTTGTTCCATGTATTCCCTTGTTACTGTTATTCTAGGGCTTTCCCCTATCCACCTACAGGATCTTTGGCATTCATGATTTCAGGACAGGGTAGATACAGCCTCAAATATAGGGGTCATTACTCAGCTCTGAGGTTTCTGTTTATTTTTTAATAAATTATCTTAACGTAAAATATACATACAGGAACAAAACTCAAAAGGTACAAAAAGATATAATTGTACATAACCCCCCTTCCCCCCAAACTCTCATTACATTTTCTCTCTATCCTTCAGTCCTATATACACACAAAAGATACATAGTTTACGCTCTTGTACACCTTGATTTTTTTTCAATATCTTTGCTGTAGTTCTGTCTTGGTACATATAAAACAGCCTCCTTCTTTTTATCAGCTATAGTAACCATATCCTATTGATGCATATTTCAGGTCCTAATCTTAAGCTTTAACAAATAATGCTGTAGTGAATATCTCTGACCATACATCATTTTGCACACATATGAGTTTATCAATAGCATAAATTCTCGGAAGTGGAATTGCTGGGTCCAAGACTAATATTTTTAACTCTGAATTTTAAATCAGATCTTTGAGCCTCCTGGTTCTGAAGGTCCGCATTTCTCACTGTATCTCAGATGTTTTCCATTCTTATTTTGTTGAGTAGATTTTGTTGAGTAGATTTTTCACTGCCTTTTCCTTTCTCCTTCCCTTCTGGAATACCAATGATTTAGATGTTTGTGCACATATGGTTGTCTGTTCTCTCTCTTAGATTTTCTTCATTTCTTTAAATTCTTTTGTCTTGTCTTTTTGTCCGCTTGTGTTATTTCGAAAATACCATCTTTGAGATCAGAATTTCTTTCTTCTAACTTGCTCTATCCTGCCTTGGCTGTGCTTTTTATTTTGTTGAGTGAATCATTCTGTTCCAGGAGTTCTGCTACATACTTTTTAAAGGTATTAATCTCTAAATCTCCTCCCTGATATCCTGGATACTTTTTGTCATTTCATTGCGTTGTCTGAGTCTTCTTGAATCCCATGAAGTTTCCTTCAGATTGTTGCTCAGAATTCCTTTTCAGTCATTTCAAGGGTTTCTTCCTCTGTTTGGTCTGGTACTTGAGAATTACTATATTCCTTTGGTGGTATCATATTTTCTTATATTTTCATATTTCTAGTATCTACATTGATGTCTGGTCATCTGGTAGAGCAGTTGCTTCTTCTTTTACTCTGGAGTTGGGTTGAAGAGAGAGACTTCTTTTTCTAGTCTCCGTTGTTGACTCTCCTTGTGTCACTGCAGTTAAGTGGGTGGCCAGCTGCCTGTATGGTGGCTGTGGTAGACTGCCCATGTGAAAGTAGTGTTTTCAGCATGTTCCCACCTTCAGCCAAGTAGGGGATGCTGCCCTTGGCTCCTGCCTAGGGCCCTGGGTATGTTCCTACCTTCTGCTGGGTGGTGGGGGTTGCATACTGCTCCTGCCTAGGACACTGGGCACGCTCCTGCCTTCTGTCGGTTGGTGAGGACTGCCTGTTGCTTATCCTTGCTTTTAAATAGTTACAAATTGATTGTTTGGGAGGAGTGGCACTGGGAATTGTCCACCATCTTGATGATGTCACCTTGTCTCACCTTTTTAATTATGGCTTTTGATGAACAGAAGTTCTTAATTGTATGTCATGGAATTTATTATATGTTTTATAATTAGTGCTTTTTGTGTATCGTTTAAGAAATTCTTCCCTTTCTTGAGATCATAAACACATTATCCAGTTAACACAGAACATGGTCAATTTTTGTAAACATCTTATGTATTCCTGAGAAGAATGCATGTTTTTTAATTGAGTATAGTGTTTTGTGCGTAGGTATTAAACCAAACTTCTGTATTTGGGTGTGTGTATAGTAGTGTATCTCATATAATCTCTAGGTTGCTTTGGTGAGGTTCATCTCCCACCATGTTGGTGGATTTAACAGTATCTTTGGGAATTTTTGCTTTGTGTAGTTTTAAGGTTGTGTTATTACATATAGTTGGGTATGCAGTTGTTAAATTGAAACTTTTCTGTTTTGCGGTGTCTGTTTTTAATGTTCTTCATCTTTAGTCTGTTTTTTTCTTAGTATTATTTTTATGTTATTCCAATTTTTTAGTTTTTTTGTGTTTTAAGTGTTTCTTTGACAGATAGCATACAGTTTTATTTTTAAAAATTGCTCACTTTTAATTAGTGAGTTTCTATTTTTGTTTTTTATGAATACTTACGTAGTTTCACTCTTTTAATTCATGTGTGCAATTTTTCTCACTTTTAAAATTTTTATTTCTTAAATTTTTACCTTTTTTTAAACTACTCCTCTACTGGCTTGAATGTTACCTATTCTTTTACTACGCTTTCAGTAGTTATCCTTGAAATCTATTCACGTTTATCAACTAAACAGAGTCTATTCTTAATCAGTATCTTCTTCACCTTTTTGGACAATGTAAAAGGTCCAGATACAAACTTTTACTACTTCCTTGTGACTTATGTGATATTATTTGGTGTGTTTTTTATATAATAGTTAATAACAATATTTAGAATCATTTATTTCTTTTCTTGTTTTCTCATTCTCTTTTTCATTTTGTGTCTTAGACCTTCTAGTTTGTGTTAATGTGTTTTTCAAGTACACAATTTCAGAAATTCAGTTAGAAATGGTTCATTGGCAATAAACTTTGTTTTCATTTATGCAAAAATGCATTTTGTTTATCTTGTTGCGAGCTCGTTTTGTTGGGTCCTGAATTTTAGATTTAAATTATTTTCTCTCATTTGGGAGCATGGGGGTGGCAGCCAGCCAGTAGGCAGATTCCAGCCCTAGACTGTCATGTTACCAATATCACACTCTAACCAGCTGAGCTAACTGGCAGCCGTTTCTCTCAACTTTTTCAAGATAATTGAAGTCCATTGTGTTCTAGCTTCATTTACTGCTATTGAAAAGCATTTTGCCTGTTTAATTATTGTTCCAGTTACTAAATTATCTTTACTGTTGGTCTGATTTTAAGCTCTTCTTTTTGCTCTTGAACAAAAATACATCTTTGTCTTAGTGTATCTAATCGTGGATTTCTTTTTAATTATCTTACTTGATAGGAATAACATCTGTGTCTGTGTATTTATGTTTGTTTTCAATTCTGTAAGATTTTCAACCATCAACTATTCAGATATTCTTCCCTTACTGCCTTGCTCTCTGCTTCTGGGACTCTGGCCATATTTCAAACCATTTTTCTGTCTTTTATGCCTTTTATCCTCTCTTTCACTCTTTCTGTCTTCTTCCCTTTTATCCTTCATTCTTGGTTATTCTTTTAGGTATTTCTTCCAGTTTGCAAGTTCAGTTTTCAGCTTCCCCGCTTGTGGTGGTCCTCAGGCTTAATTCTCCAAATCTCAGTTCAAGTAGTTGTTCTTGTGTAGGTATTTGTCCACAAATAAGTATTGTCCTCCCCCTTTTCCCCCTCCCCTGTGCTGCTTTTATGTTTTGTTTACCATCACCCCTCTAAGTTCAGCCTCTTGTTTATCTGTTATGTTTTGTAAATTATCTTACTTTCTTTTGAGTCAGGCAGTGCTTTAAAATCTTCTTACCTCCCATCTGGTTTTATTAAAGCAAAGATGCACTATAGAGTGTGCACTTTAGTGCCATAGTACTTCTTACTTTATGCATTTGACATTGTGCTATAATTATTGATGAACATGTGTCATCGCAAGATCTCGTGTGTCTTATCTCTGTATCTATTTGTGTACCTCAAGCATAACAGAATAAACATTTACTTAAGAATCGTCTTATCCTTACAGTTGTAAATAAGCTGTTGGTAATATATATCTAGGATCATAGACCTTTTTTATAGGATGTGTATACTAACATATTTCAAGTTTGTTGCCTTTTGTCCATATTTGTCTGATTTTTTTCTGTTCTTCTAATGAATATGTCAAACTCCTTAGCATATATATATTACTGCCTCTTAATTGATCAATTGATGTTAACTTAAATAGATATTCCCTACAGTCAAATACTGTTTCTATAATTCAGAGGATGCAAGTCCACAATATAGGGATGATGAGAAATTAATTAGTTTTCTATTTGATAATGGTTTTGTAAGAATTTCTGGATATTAAGATTCCCAAAATTTTAAATTTTAGAATGGTACTTACAATGAATTTTATATTCATTTAATCTGGAGAGTAGAAAAACGTTTCTCATTTAAGTCTCGTAAAAGTGGCCTTTCGAACTTATTTTTTAAAATCATCTTTTTAGTTTTAATCATTCTGTGAATGAATTTGGTTTCTATTTTCACGTGAAAAGAAAAATTAGAAAATATGATCTATGAACTGTAGTTTTTCACTATTTGTAATCATTTTATTGTCATGAATTTTTGAAAGTAAGTGTGCAAGCATTTGGCTATTCTGTGCCAAAGAAGAGTATGGTTTATTCCGAGTTATGAATTTGTTTTCTTATTATCACCTTAGACAAAGAAACAGCCTTGGTATAACAGCACATTAGCATCAAGACGAAAACGGCTCACTGCTCATTTTGAAGACTTAGAGCAATGTTACTTTTCTACAAGGATGTCTCGTATCTCAGGTACATGTTCAGGACATCTCTTAAAATATCTCAAGTTCATATTTTATATCTAATTTGAGGTTTTCATGTTAGATTTATGGAAAGTCCTAGTTGCAAAGCAAAAGCATGTATTTTTGATGTAGTGTACCAGAGCATTAGAGATTCTCCAGATCTTAGAGATCTTAGAGAATATTGCTTTCCAATGTCTATTTTTGTTCTTGTTTAATTTGGAAAATTTTAAACTTTATATAGCAAGCTATATAAAGTTAAAAAAATCAGTCATGAATATGTAGCTAGCAAAAATAATTTTCATTCAGTTGCCTTCTATTCAACAATTGAGTTCTAAGTACTGTCCTCCGTGCTAAGAAAAACAAGATGAGAGAACTGTTTTTTGTTGTCAAGGACTGTTGTAAATCTAGTGGGGTAAAACAATAGGTAAATAATTCTATGTGATGTCATGTGTTATATAAATATGCAAAGTTTATTATGGGAATAGAGAATAATATCTACTAATATAACTGGGAGTGAAAAAGTCAGGCCACGTTGAAAATGGAGAGCTACAAGGGAATGATCATTGTAGGAATTTCAGAGGAGTTGTATTTGGGCTAAGCTAATATGAATTATCTCAAACAGGTAATTAGAAACGTGTTCATAGTAAAGAAAATAACATGCGAAGACATGAGTATGATAGCATAGGATATTTTTATTATGATAGAGAAATAATATAGTTCTGTCTCTTTTTGTTCTTCAGCCTTAAATGAAGACATTTATACCAACCCTATAGGGTTTTTAAAGGGTTATAGGTGATGTACGTAAAACACACTGCTTCATACATGTTGGGTGCTCAGTTAATTGATGTTATTAATGTACACCTGCACAAAATAAAGGCCACCAAGGAAAAAAATGTCTGATATTTTATTGGCTGTTAAAAACTGGACCTTGTTTTTTTCTTTAGTAAATGTGTTTACATTATAATCTATATAGTTCTTATATCCTTTAGGGAAATTTGCTTCAAACTTGATGGTGGAAGAAAAAAAGTATTAGATTTACATAGCATTTTCCTTAGGAAGACTAGGGAGAAGCCAAGATTTGTTTGTGTGTTTGAAATTAATGATAAATAGTTTTTAGAGATGGAAACTTTCATTTATTGCCTGGGAATTGAGTCCCTTTTTGAACCTCTGTAATAGTACTTTTTTTTTTTTTTTTGAAAGATGACTAGTAAGGGGATCTTAACCCTTGACTTGGTGTTGTCAGCACCACACTCTCCCAAGTGAGCCATGGGCCGGCCCTATAGTTTCTAAATATAAACTACAGTAGGAAGCTGTTTAATTGAAAGTGGCCTGAGACCTACACTTTGACTGTCAGAGAGTTCCTGTTAACTCTCGCATACCTTATTTATTGGTATGATGTTGAAGTACAGCTATAGACAGTGCTAAGCAGTTAAAAAAGCGGGGGTGGAGGTGGGAAGGGGGTAGACTCTTATTAACATTCTTTTTGTTTGGTTTTGGGTTTTGGGCAGCTGGTCAGTATTGGGGATTCTTGTTAATGTTCTTTATGTCACTAGCAGCTGTGGAATAGTCAAGGTAATCACAAGACAATTTAATTCAGTTTTGGGGATGTAGTTTTATAGGAGGATAGAATAATAAAACCGGGAGCAAAATTAGATTGATTTTTATTTTTGTATTGTACTTAGATCGTGTTGTCCCTAGCTTGTAGGAATCTCAGGTTTATCTTATCAAATTTGCACATTGGCTACCACAACCATATTGTGTAATATGAAGTTCCTACCTTGGATTGTAAAGAGGAAATTTTAACTTTTCAAGTGAGAATCCATGAATCGACCCTCACTCCCCAAATTTTATTTCCAACTATGAAAATGAGAGATGAATATTAAGAAATTAATGTCTTAGACTCTTAATTGTAATTGAAAGATGAGGTAAATTAGAAAGCATTAGGAGAAAGAAAAGAGCACTGAATATACTTTTAGAAACCAGTCTTAGTTAGGAGAGGTGATATACCAGCAGATACGTTTGGATGTTGATCATAAAACAACCAAGCAAACAAAATTCTACCTTTTCATAACCAGGTAAGTGAGAACCGGTTGCTATATTTTCAGAAACTAAAACAACTAATTTTATTATTTTCTATGTGGATTCTTTTGGAAGTAGATATTATTGTGCTTATGATAGCCAGAAGTCTAGTTACCCTAGAAAAGAATTGTGGTCTTCAACAGAATACACATTCCTGAATGCTTGCAAATTTTATCTACTTAGGAACTGATGTCAAAATGTGAAAGAATAATTAACATTAAAACAAGCTTTAAATGAATAATATACTGTAACTGTCTTTTCAGTAAGTATTTTTTACATTAAATAACCACAATAATAGCATTACGTATAAAAAGAAATATTATGTCCAAATGACTCTGTAGTACAATTGATGATTTTTTGTTTTACAATAATCCATGTTTTATTTAGTGTTTGTTGAATTTCCTGAGAATAATTTTTATGCATGTGAAGCAGGAGCTTTATCTTAGTACCATGGTGATTTTTCATGCTAATTAGGCTATTTCTTTTGCTGTTTTTAGAATAGCAGCACTACTAAATTAGACCCTTTTAATCTAGGTTGTTAGGTGGATTTGTTAGTGTTTAAATCTTTAAATTTTGTAAAATATCAGGGAAAAATCTTAGTTTATTCAAGTAATTGTTGTTTTTCTTTATAATAATTGTTACATAAATTTCTTCATGCCAACTTCAAGATGACCTAATATATCCAGATGAAATATATTCTTTACTTTTTTCATACAGTCATATAACTCTTTTGACTTAATGATTCCTGTATTTTAATTTCATTATGCCTACCATTACTTTTAAATGATTTTTAAGAAGGCCAGTCATGGAAATTTACCTTGAAAAAATTGCGCGTGTGTATGTGTATGTGCTTGCAGTAAGGAAGAAGCTATGAAAAGACAGTGTTATAAAAGACTTGTTTCAGATTTCAGTCTAGAAAGCTAAACCAATTATGTGTTCTTTTCATTCTTTGGAAATGAAAATGTAAGTGCAAAAATTTTTGAAAAATAATGATTTTTTAAATTCATGATTTCAGTGTAGGCCTGCTTCTAGATTGAATAGATTAGCTATATTCTCAGGTACTTCATAAACTCATTTTATGGTTTAAATCACATAACTTTGGATAGTTTATTGAAGTGGATTTTACCTAAAGTATTTATACAGTGTTCTTTTGGATGGAATTACTGTTTTCCATATTCCACCAAAACTTTTTTTTCTCGATGGAGGTACTCTGGGATAAGTGGGAGCAATTTCAAACATTTTTTAACTTTGTTTTTGTCAATTAATAATTCATACATTGAAGTTTTCTACTCCCTGTAACAGGATTTGAAACACTTCAAAGTATTATGTGAACAAATACCTCTTTTCATTTAAAAATAACTATTTATGATCTAAAACGTGTTATTATAAACTGGGTTTTGGCAATAAATAGGCATAAATGTGTATCCCTTTAAACTTGTCCCTCCTAAGTAGCAAATACACCGTCTAGTATATATACTCTTTTTTCCCACCCTCACTTCCATTGAAAAGGGATTTTTGTTTTCATAAATGATTTAACTTCTCTTGACTAGTATCTCTTTTATCATTTTTTATTTTTCTGAGAAATTATTGCTAAAAATATGGTAAAGAGAATTTACAGTTAGTTCTTACTGGCGTGGAAAGGAAAGTATCTTTTAAAGAACATGTAAGACATTTTTTATTAAAGCTGAAAGATCAGATAAATTAATTTGTGTATACTATTCTTCTCTATTATCCTTTTAAAGATTTTTTTGTATTTAGAATATAATTTTAAATTTGTGGATATTGTTCATTGACTTACTTTGTGGTTCAGTTTATCTATTTTATTTTGTTTTTTTCATATAGATGACAGTCGAACTGCAAGCCAGTTGGATGAATTTCAGGAATGCTTGTCCAAGTTTACTCGATATAATTCAGTACGGCCTTTGGCCACATTGTCGTACGCTAGTGATCTCTATAATGGGTCCAGCATAGTCTCTAGGTAAGTATTGGGCACACTCCTTACTATTTTCTTTTGTAAGAAAACGTAGAATCTAATTAAATTTGAGAAGCAGTTATAGCATTCTTGTTAAAAGCCTAGGTTCTGAAGTTAGGTTGTCAGTGTATGCTGTTCTCATAAATGCTTTCTCTTGGAACAGTTTTTATAGAATTTGTATTATTTCTTCTTTAATTTTTTAGAATTTGCCATTGAAGCTTCCAGAGAAGATTTTTAACTGATTTCAATTTCAAAAGAGATTTAGGGCTATTCAGGCTATCCATTTCTTCTTGATTGAACATTATTGTTAGTGTGTCTTTTAAGAAATTTGTCCATGTCATCTGGGTTGTTGAACTTATTGGTATACAGTTATTCATTATACTGCCTTATTATCCTTTTATTATCTTTAGATTCTATGGGGATGTTTCTTCTCTTATTCCTGATATTGGAAATTTGTTTCCCTTTACATTTTTCGTCAGCAGTCTGGCTTCGAAGTTTATCAGTTTTATTGATCTTCTCAAAGAATCATCTCTTGGTTTTATTGATATTCTATATTATTCTGTTTTCTGTTTCATTGAGTTTTGCTCTTTATTATTTCCTTTTTTCTGCTTTCTTTGGGTTTAATTTGCTCTTACTAGTTAATTTCTTAAAGTAGAAACTGAGGTCATTGAGTTGACTCCTTTTATAAATACAGATATTTTGTGCTATAAATTTCCCTCCAAGCACAGCATTAGCTGTACTACACAAATATTAATGTGATATCTTTTCATTTTCATTCAGTTCAAAATACTTTAAAAAATTTTATTTTTTTATATTGACAGATAAAATTGTATGTATTTATCATGTACAACATGATGTTTTGAATTATATATCAAAATGCTTTTTAATTTCCATTCTGATTTTTTTCTTTGATCTATGGGTTACTGAGATGTGTATTACTAGTTTTCAAATATTGAGATTATCTGGTTATCTTTCTGTTATTGATGTATATTATTTTTATTTTCACCATCATCTTGATGATTGTTTTAAAATGTTTAATGAATATTTCTAATATACATTAAAATAGAATTTAGTAATAATCCCTCACCTAACCATCACCCAGATTCAGTGATTAATATTTTGCTATACTTGCTTCATTTGTCCTAAACCCAAATACTATGTCATTTTGCCTGTACATACTAAAGAATCTCCATCTCTTAAAATAGACATTGAAAAACCACAGGGCTATCTTATAACTAAGACAATTAGCAGTAATTCCTTTGTGTAATCAAGTTGCTGGTCCATGTTCAAATTTCCTAGAATGAATGAACCTTAAAAAAATGTTTTTGAGGTAGCCCAGGAATTTGGCTAGTTTTAACTTGTTACGTAGTACTAAAACTTTGCATACCTTTCATTAGCAGGACTAAGATTTTTATTTATGTATATGAAGGTTGGTCTTGAAAATTTAAGCCATTAGCTGAAGGAAACCTTTTATTTTATTCTAGCAGTTAGTAAACTCAAGTAATGAATAAGACAGAAAGCGTAAACTCTTTTTTTTTTTTTTTAAATATGTTGGCAGTGTGGGTTTTCCTTATGCACTGAACTGAGTAAAATTTGAAAAAGCAGATTTGTGGGGTTCATTTAATTACATAATTCATTTTACAAAAATTGTTCACCTAGTGGTAGGCTAGGCTAAGCATATAACCATGAACAGGCTAGACATAATGCTTGGATTCAGGAGAGCTCACAATCTTATTTTAGTGCCTTTATAGATAAGAAATATAAGAATAGTTTATGAAACAATTTAGCTTGGAACAACAGGTTAACATTATTACTTATATTCTTAACTACTGTTAATGTATAATATATTTTTAAAGGCTTCATAGTATAGTTTGAATATAAAATGACAAAAATAAGTATGAAAGTTTATTTATAATATGAGGGTACTTTAAAAAGTTCATGAAAAGATTCATATTATCTTTTAATTCTGTTTTTCCACAACCTTTATGAAGTATTCTGGTATTGACCAACTATGTATATACTTGTCTATAATTATGTGACTATACCCAAGTTTAAAATGTAATCCAAGGGCCGGCCCGGTGGCGCACTGGATAAGTGCGCTGCTTGGGAAGCGCGGCGGCGCTCCCGCCCGAGGGTTCGGATCCCACATACAGACCGGTTCCCACTCACTGGCTGAGCGAGGCGCGGGGGCAACACCGAGGGTTGCAATCCCGTTGCTGGTCCCCGGTCCGGTACGGGGGCAACACTGAGGGTTGCGATCCGTTGCCGGACACGGAAAAAGACAAAAGACAAAAAAAAAAAAATGTAATCCATATTACTCTTGTAATGTCCTTTGAACATTGTGAATTCATCCTGTGTTGTATTTTCTTCTTTAAAAAAATAAACAAGGTCTGGTTGGTTAGCTCAGTTGGTTAGGTCCAGGGTTTGTTCCATGTACCAGCCAGAAGCCAAAAAAATAAAATGAAAAATAAATAAACAAAATCAAAACTTCCTTCTTTAACATTATATTTAAAAAGCAGCCTCTGTGGGCCGGCCCGGTGGCGCACTGGTTAGTGCGCTGCTTGGGAAGTGCGGCGGCGCTCCCGCCCGAGGGTTCTGATCCCACATGCAGACCGGTTCCCGCTCACTGGCTGAGCGAGGCGCGGGAGCGACACCGAGGGTTGCGATCCCGTTGCCGGTCCCCGGTCCGGTACGGGGGCGACACTGAGGGTTGCGATCCGTAGCCGGACATGGAAAAAGACAAAAGACAAAAAAAAAAAAAAACAGCCTCTGTTTAGAAGATGTGCTATGGGTTATCAGTCTCTTTCTAAAAAGAGTAAGAGTCATTTTTTTCATCATTCCTGAAAACTATTTTAGCTTGGTTTAATATAATCTTGGATTTTTAAAATATGCTAATAAATATTGAGCATACTGCAACGTTTATATCAAAGCAATGTGCATTTTGAAGCAAAAATTTACTGTTTGTTTCCAAAGACATAATGACATTTCAGTTTGGGAATATCACTTATTGAATGCGGAGTTAATTACATTAAAACATTTCAATTAAAAAATTTGAAAGGTACCTGTAGTTGGTCCATCTTGCATACTAATATCCATTCTTTTTTCTTAATTACACTGAATTAACATTTCTGAGAGAAATATTTTCAGTTTTCAAAGTTTGCTAGGCAAGACAGATGAAACTAGTAGGTGCCAAGAAAGGGTGATACAATCAAAGAAATTAAGGGGTTTTTAAACTTTTATGGCCCCGATTATTTGTTTGCCTTTCATAGTTTTTCATATTCAGACACATCATTGATAATAAATTTGTTTTTAAAATCTTAATTTTTCTCAAAATATGAAGTTTAATGAATTTCAGGAGGAGGTATAAAGGAATGTTAGAGAAGACAGATAATGCTGAATTTGGTGCATTATTTCATTACATTGTTGAAGAAATTATTCTTCCTGTAAAATTGCGTTAAACATACCTAAGATTGATCAGAGAATCTCACTGAGAGAAAAAGATGAACCAGAAATTTTTGTGTTTACATTTCCTCTTTTGTTTGTTTGGAGTTAATACCATACCCATCAGTCCACAAGGTGGCAGCATTTGTTTACTTGACAGTATCTCAACTATTAAACAATAGACAAGGTATGGAAATTGGTGGCTTGTAGTAAAGTTGACCCTTATGAATACCAGATAGTCCTAGGTTAACAATAGCAAGTAATGGAAAGGAAAGAAGTCATTTTTTACATTCTTCTTATATATGGCAATAAGGTCATATTTTGTATTTTTCCTAACATTAGGTATAAGGTCATATTTTGTATTTTTCCTAACATTAGGTATTCACTGGCCACCAGAGAGAAATAGTTTGAAAGTACATAGTTTAAACTTACTCAATACTTAGTAGATGGTTGTTTCTTAAATTCTTGACTTAAATTTTATATACCTAGATTATGTTCAAAATTATTACACGCTCCACCTCTAGAGATTATTTTAACATTTTTGCTTATGTTTGCTCAGTTTGTAGAAATTGAGTTATATCAGGCATTAGCAAATTCATGAAAAGGAAAGGGTTATGTATTGTGGCATTTATTGATGCTAGATCAGTCATTCCCCTGGTAATGTAGTATTTTATTACTTACTCTTCTTTAGACACCTTTATAAGTATTTTACATGACTTCGTTAACTCACTTCATTCTTACATTAACCCTATGGAATAAAGTATTGGTATTAATTCCATTTTCCAGATGAGGAAACTGAGGTAGAGAGAAGTTTTTTTAACTTGTCCAAGATCAACAAAGTGCTGATGTTTGAATTGAGGCGTACTGGCTCCTGAGTTTTGATGCTCTGTTACTCACTTCAGAATCTTTTGAAACCTCGGGAAATACTTTACTTTTAAGACACCTGGAAGAATAAAAGGATTTAATTCTTTTGAGATTCTGACACTGCGTATCCCTGTTACTGTCTTGTCTAACTAGGCTTTAATAATGAATATTTTTTGAGTTTTAATATAATGTGGGTATGACATTCAGATGCCACTTTTTGCCATAGTTTGAAACTATTCAAATTAAACTTTTTTTTTAATAGTAGATAGTTAACAAGGATTGTTTTTGAAACTTCAGTTTATCATGGTAGGCAACACTGATCCAGATTTCTAGAATCTCCAGGTAATTATGGACTTGTTTTCTTAGGAATAGATATAATTTTAAGGCCTACCGAGGTACTTTCTCTTTTTGTCAGAAGATATTTCTATTATTATCCTAAGAGTTTTTGGCCATCTGGGATTGGGGTGAGAAATGAGATGAATGGAAGTGCAAAGGAAAGGATTACCTCGCAGAATTTTGACTAGAATCAGTCTTTTAAAGCAGTTATTTGTTAAATTGTGTTTTAGGCCAGAACCTTCATCAGGGAGGGTGTTTTATCTGTCTTATTTCCTGTTGCATCCCTATGTCTGGTATATGACAGGTGCTCAATAGTAAATATTTGTTGAATGAATGCATGAATGATGAAAAACTTCTTCCCTGTT